CTGCACACGGAACTCTTACGTAGGGAGAGAAGCTGAGGAGAAAGGTTTATTGCCCCCTGGCCTGGGTCCAGGCATATTCAGATACATATATATCTCCAACTACAGAAGGCCCGGGAGGCTTGTGTGCCAATGGAAAAGCAGCCCCAGAAAGGCCCGTGCCACTAGTAAGGATGGAAGGCGCACTCTACGGCACTACAGAGAGCACACATGCTGTGCAGCCAAGGCCAACGCTTTTCTGGGTCTCCACACCTAGGCCAGCCAAACAGAAACTCTTCCTCAGAGTGCCAGTTTTGACCTTAGGAATGAAGTGGGGAGCCCAAATCAGGGCAGGGTGTTCTGTCAGTGGCAAGACCCCAGTAAGAGAATGTAATTAAACCTGGCAAGCCGTCTTAGGCTTTGTAGTTCGCGGGGCCATTGCATGCTGGGAGCTGTGTGTTCCCAGCGAGGAGTCTTCTGGGAAGTGTAGTCTCATGCACTCTTAGCGCATTCTGGAAGATGTGGTTTCCAAGGAACATGGGGCTTGCCTCTTGTCACATGTTATAATTGTGCTTATCTTTAGATAACGTTTACACACACACACACACACACACACACACACACACACACACACACACACTCACATACACACCACCTAAGCAAAGTGGAGCAGGGCTTACCTCTCACCCTAGGGCTCAGAGCCCTGTGCTTCCCAGCTTCCTGCCATGCTGCTGGTATCACTGTTAGGTACTGGGTCCCTAGCTGTCAGAGAACCTGGCACTGGCTGACCTTTTTCTCTTTCCTGTCTTGTGATGTAGGAACCTGCCAGATGTGTCTGCTAAGGACTTTGAGAAAGTCGATCTGACCCGGTTCAAGTGGATCCACATTGAGGCAAGCCCTTCCCTACCTGTGTTTCTAGGGGTTTAGCCTGTCAGGCCCTTCTGCATGCTCAGTCTCTTCCGTAATTTCTTTGAACCATGAAATATGATAGGGATACTAAGTAGCCCTCCCCCATCCCTCTCCACTCTTCCTTATGTTTTCCTATGAGGAAACTGGGGCCCAGAAAGATGGAGAGATACAGGGCCATACAGTCACAGATAGCACTGGGCAGAAGACCAGCTTTTGTGTTAGGCTACTTCCCTCCTAGAATCTGCCTTTGCTGACTTCTTTTACTTCTCAAGAAACAGGAAGGAGAGGAACTGGAGGGAATTAGAACTTTCTTCCCAAGGGAGAAGTCTTGGGATTAAGATGAGAGGAAACCTCAAGAAGTCCAGGCTTCCAATCCTTGTCTCAATTATTTGACTTAATGTTGCTCCTCTGGTTGTCTCCCTCTCCTATCTCCATCTCCTTTTCACTTTCCCTCTCCCTTCCCATCTCACCTTGTCCCTCTCTCCCTCATAGGCTCATTCTTGTTCTCTCTGTGTGTTTTGTTTGCTTGCTTGCTTCTTTGTTTGACACAGAGTCTGACTATGTAGACCAGGCTGGCCTTGAATTCACAGAAATCTGACTGACTCAGTCTCCCAAGTTCTGGGATTGAAGGAGTGTGCCACCACATCCAGTCTTTTGCTTTCTTGCTTCTTTTTCTGCCGACCATCTTTCTAGTGCTCTACTATGTAGCCCAGGTTAGCCCAGAATTCACAATCTTCCCGCTTCAGCCTCTCAAGTGCTGTGTTCACAGGCATGTATGTCCAGCATCATTTATTCTTCCGTCTCATTTGAGAAATGAAAAATTTGGCTGATAAGGTCTCCAAGGTCCATGGCAGTCCTAGAATTATGTAGCTGCAATGGGGCTCCAGCTTCCTCAAACCCCTTTCCCTGCTCACCAGAGGTCCATCAGGGAGGAAGGAATGAATTCTTTATCAGCTGGACTCTGAGCTGCCCTGTCCTGCCCCAGGGCCGGAATGCATCGGAACAGGTGAAGATGCTGCAGCGGATAGAAGAGTACAACGCCAAGCAGCCTCTGCCACAGAAAGTCCGGGTGTCGGTGGAGATAGAGAAGCCCCGGGAGGAGCTCTTCCAGCTCTTCAGCTATGGTGAGGTGGTAAGTGTCCTGCAGCTTCTCCTGCCTCTCTCTAGCTAGTTACATTCTTAAGAGCTAGAGAGGACCCTAGTCCTGTCTACCAGCCTCCGAGTAACAGCCGGGAAGCTGGAGATGGCCCGGAAGTAGACTTTTCCTGCTCAGGTAAATACACAGGTGTACGGTAGACAGGGCTCAGGTAGCTACGGGCATTCCCTTGCTTGTCTGCCTCAGTCTTTCCCTGTGATTTACCAGTTTTTCCCACTTAGATGGCATGTTGTAAGGCCAGTAGCAATGAGAGGAGGGTGGGAAGGAGACTTGTACAAGGAAAACTTAGGCCGGTGTGTAAAGGGTCTCACTGCTAAAGCTGGTTGGACACTGTCCGGATGCGGTTTGTTGGCCTTGGTGCCCAATTAGAAAATATGGCAGGTGGATCCCCGTTCCCCCAGAACTATTCTAGGGACCCTGTCTTGAAGCCACTGTGGGGAGAGCCTCGTTTTGCAGATGAGTGGACTCACTCTGCAGGGCTTGGCTTTCTGGGGAGCAGATGAAACAAGGTTCATTTTTAAGTGTCAGCCTGGTTTGCTTTCACCCCAAGATGGTGCTCCAGGCTCTTTCTGGGTTTTGAATTCCCTCATGCTAGAATGAAAATCCCAGGCCTGCAGTGTCACAGTTCCCTAGGCTGTATTTTGGCACAACTTAAGCAAACATAAAACATGTACCTGTGGGACAGCAAAATGCCATGCTGGGGACTTACGTGACTGAGTTGGAGGAGATGTGCTGTAACCTGGAGTCAACACCAGGTTGTTAGTAGTGAGTAGCAGTTAGAGGTGGCTGCCAGTCTCTTTCACTGCCTACAGGTGTTTGTCAGCAAAGATGTGGCCAAGCACCTGGGGTTCAAGTCAGCAGTGGAAGCCCTGAGGGGTTTGTACAGTCGTGTGAAGAAAGGGTGAGTTGAGAAGCCAAGAAAGGGTATGCGGGGTCTGGGGGATGAAGTGGACTATCGCCGATCTGTGTGAGTCTTACAGGGCTACGCTTGTCTGTGCCTGGGCTGAGGAGGGTGCCGATGCCCTGGGCCCTGATGGCCAGCTGCTCCACTCAGATGCCTTCCCACCGCCCCGAGTAGTAGACACTCTTGGGGCTGGAGACACCTTCAATGCCTCTGTCATCTTCAGCCTCTCGAAGGGTGAGTTCATCACCAAGGGGTCAGGGCAGGGCTGGGCCTGTCACCGCCCCCCCCCCCCGCAAAATACCACGCTGAGCCTGCTATTTGTCCCTTCTCCAGGAAACAGCATACAAGAGGCCCTGAGATTCGGGTGCCAGGTGGCTGGCAAGAAGTGTGGCTTGCAGGGGTTCGATGGCATTGTGTGAGAGGTGAGCGGTGAGAGGCACCAGCTCTATACCTCAGAGGCTGGCACCACTGCCTGCCATTGCCTTCTCCACTTCATCCAGCCTGGTATCTGGCTGTCCAGTTCCCTGGGCAGATGTAGGCTGTGGAACGGACTCTGCCCGTGTCTGCATTTACGTATATCTGTCTCCTCTTTGCAGATAACCTGGAGCAAATAAATCTTTCCCCGAGCCAGCTTTGTCTGTCTGAGTGGTTTTTTCTTGCTGTTGTTTTATTGGTTTTGTTTGAGATAGGGTCTGGTTGTGCAGCCTAAGGTTGGCCATGAACTTAGAACGCTCCTGTTTTCAGCCTCCCCGTGCTGGGATCCCAGGCGTGGTTCATTTGTCTTTGTGGATCCTCACCCTGCTCTGGTTGAAACTCCTGAAGCTCTGACACTACAGTCCTGTATTTTTTCTCTTCCTTCTTCTTCATTCTTCAAATTAGCCCCACCCACCCAACCCAGAGGGGAGGGCATGCAGACTGAAGCAGCAGATATGCTCTGACCTCCCATCAGCTGTCCTCAGAGGAGTTTCATCCAGGCCAGGGAGGACAGCCAGAGAAACAAGCTCTCCAGACGCTTTGAGCCATGCAGACTGCATGCTAGCTGTGGTGGTCAGGGAGCCTGCTTTCTGGGCTTATGGGTCTTTGTTCAAACCACCTTTTTCCACGGGTGTCCCAGGAACCTAAAAGCCCCCAGAGCTTACCTTTAGTCAAATCGGTACTTTGACCACAAATGTAACTTGACACAGAACACCACCGCTGTCCCTTGGGGAGGGTAGACCCAGGTGGCACATCAGGATCAGGTTCTAATATGAGATTTGAGACAATTGGACAAAAGCATAGGCTTCCTTGTCAGACAGACATGAGTTCAAGTAAGATATTTAATATCAAGTAAGATAATTAAGTGTGTGCCAACTTAGGGTGCATTGCTTAGCTCCATTGTCTTCAGCCTCCCATCTGTCAAATGGAGTTGATGTTTGCCTGGTCATAGAATCATTGTGAGGATAAAAATCAGATAAAATGCTACCTTAAAATGTCAGCCTGGTGTCTGGTGTGCACAAAGTTCTCAGAAGGAGGAGGAAGAAGATGAAGAGAAGGAAGAGGGAGAGGATGGTTACTAATGCCATTACTAGGAGTGGGGACCATTGTCTGCCTTGAGCTACAGGGAGGAGAGGCCTGAACAGGAAGTGGAGAGGGAACTCCAGGAGAGTGTTGTGCTTCCAGGATAGACTAAGCTAGCTAGACTTCCTTTCTTCCTTTCTTTTATCATTATTATTATCATCATTAGTAGTAGTATTTTGGTATGATTTTTTTTTTGAGACAGGGTTTCTCTTTTATAACAGCGCAGACTGTCCTGGAACCCACACTGTAGACCAGCTGGCCTTGAACTCAACAGAGATCCATCTGCCTGTGCTTCCTGAGTGCTGGGATTAAAGGCCTATGCCACCACTGAGTTTTTTCCTGGGGTTGTTGCAGCTGGCTGTGGCTAGTTCGTCTCAGCACTCCTGGGCAAAAACCCTGGGAAAGCTGGGTCTCCATCTCTTCAAGAGGTTTTTCCAGTCCCCAAACCCTTGTGTTCCGAGGGGAAGGATCTGGGTAGGCTGGACCAAGGACACATGGTTATGGAGATGAAGTCATTCTGTTCTTTATTGGTTGTTTGGGGCTAAGCAGCTCAGCAAAGCTGCTGCTAAGCTGAGCTTATGGTCTCCCTGAGCAGCACAGAAAGTCCTGCTTCCTACTGAAGCCAGAAAGGAGACGTGGGAGTGCTTTTTTCCCCCCTCACCAAGACAGGGTCTTACGAAGTAGCCCAGCCTGGCTTCAAACTTGCTATGTGGCCTAGGCTAGCCCAGAGCTCTCAATGACTCTGGGATTGCTAGCTTGCACCACCGTCCTCATGTCAGAGGTGGCTCTAATCCCACCATTTCACACTTCATGCTTCTGCTCTGCACTGAGATTCTGAGGGGCTTGAGCCTTCGCCATCTGGCTCATATCTCGTCGTTCTCCAGTTGTATGCTATGAGTCTCCACCTCATTCGGAGTGTTTAGGGTCTCCAGTGTTTCCACAGGCAGGGGTTTGGCTTCTCCATCATTGTCCTTGCTCTCCACCTGTCCCTCAGCACCCTCTCTGGGGCCTGGGACATCCCCTTCAGACTCTGCCTGAGCCCTAGCCTCTCCTTCAGGGCTTAGGGTATCTACTTTAGCCTCTATCTGACTTCCAGCCTCCTGCTCAGGTTCCAAGGATGCCCTTTTGGCCTCTACCTGGTCCCTAATTTCTTCTTTAGCAATCCCCAGGGATTGCTGAGTTTCTGACTGCAATGGACTGTTGGCTAAAAGCGGCTGACTTCCAGCAGGCTGTGGCTCCTGGAGAGCTGGGGGAAGGGACTCTGCGTGCTTGGGGGCTTCTCCTGGGAAGTTGATGAGCTCTGCAGGAGTCATGAGCCCGTCTCCATCCAGGTCCTGAGTCTCAAGCACCGTGTCTACTACCAGGATCACCTGTGGAAACAGTTACCATAGATATTTTCAGGAACCCAACCACTCTCCAACAGCCTTGTCCCCACCACGCAGGCTCTGAGCTTCCTTCTTACCAGGAGTCTACCAAAAGGACCAAAGCGCCGAGGAGCTAGTCTCTCAAGGTTTCCAGAAGCACTTACCGGGTTGATGGGAAAGTGTACAGCTTCAGGGGCCAGAGCTGCTGTCAGCATGGACAACAGCTCCAGGCCGTCCAGCTGTCCATTCTGGTCATAGTCGTGAAGAGCAAAGAGTGAGAGCAGAACTGGGGAAGAGAATCTGGGTTTGAGAAAGCAGGAACCCACCAGGCAGCCAGCATTCAGCCCCAGTTGCATTTCCAGGACCCTGCCAGCCCCAGTGCCCAGCATCATGCCTTCACCTTGCTCCCGGCTCATGTGCTCAGGGTCCTCTTCCATCTTCTCTAGTCCTTTGAGATAATTCTGCAGACGTCTGTTGAAAAAGTGGAAAATCAGCCAGGAGAGTCCTGTCTGTGACCTAAGACTTGTCTGGTTAATACCTGCTGAAAGCCCCCATCCTACTCACCGAAGCTGCTCAGGGCCTGGCTGGAAGGGGTTGGACGTGAGCTGCTGTTGTACCTCAGGGTCCAGCCTAGAGCAGGAGAGAAGCAGCAGCCCAAAGACTAGCATAGCAGCCACTTGGCAGATTTCTCCCTAGACTCAAAGGGAGTTGTCCCTCCACATTCCCAGAAAAGGCTGTAGGGAAAAAGCTCTTCGGGTGTCATTGGAAATAGAACCTTAATTCCCAAAACTGCTTCTGCAGATCAGATGCTTTAGTTAACTTTAGAAAACCCAAAGAAGGGGCTGACAAGATGCTCCAGTGGTTAAGAGCACTTGCTGCTCTTCCAGAGGACCTGAGTTCAATTCCAAGTACCCATATTAGGTGGCTCACAACTATCTATGCCTTCAAGTTCAGGGGATCTCTTCTAGATCCTGCAGGCAGCCCCGCCCCACTCATGTACACACGGACCTACACATGTAAATAAATAAAGAATTAAAAAGAAAATCCCAATCGAGGTTGAGGCTCCCATAACAGACACACAATAGAGCCCCAAGACGATGGTCCAGTGTGTGTCAAGACATAATGGTTTATTATGTATGGTCTTCCTTCTCCAACTCTGGGATCTGCTCCAAGGAGTGGCTCTCAGGCTAAGGCTGGTAGCAGTGCTCAGGATTCTACAGACCCATCTTGCTCCATGACACATTCCTTTCCCAAACAGAGAGTATGAGTGCCAGCCCAGACTTTAAGTCTTCCCAGGATCTCAAGTATTCCTACTTCTGCATGTGGCTACTGTTTGCCCAAATCTGCCTGGGATGCAGAAGTGACAGGAGTTGTCACAGCCAGTTTGGTCACTGCTACCAGCCCTCCACTTTCTCATTCCCATGATCCTAGTACAGATACTAACTGTAAGAAAGCAGTTCTAGTAAGACATTAAGCTAATGACCCCCATTTCCTCTTGGCATTCCCAATGTCATCTTGATTCTAAGATGATGGTCCCTGTCTGAATTTCTGGCTTTCTCCTGATGCTTCACACCAGTCTGGAAATGAACTCTTGGCTGCAAAGGGTTCTACAAGCATGCATTAAGTCCTGCTTGGGACGTTCTGACAATCAAAAGGGAGGAAGTTGGGGTGCTGTGCCCAGAAATAATGGAGGCTATACTTCTGCAGGTTCCGGCTCCCCCAGAGTCCTGACATCTTTCCAGAACTCTCCCTACCCAATCCGTGTCCTCCTAACTCTTACCTTCCAACTCCATCCTTGGGAGCAGCTTGACCCAAAGGGAGCAACAAGAGTGGCAGCATCCAGGCTTGAATCAGCCACCGGGACATCCTGCTGGAGACTGGAGCTAGGAACAGAATCGGGAGTCAGGGGAGGGGTGTCTGCCAGAGTGTTAGGGGTTAGTCGGCTTGGACAGAAATGACTTCCTTCCGTGCATGTGAAAACATGCAGCATAGGAGAAAGGATGCCTGTTCAGGGAGGACTGTGCATACCCATGGGCAACCTTCCATGGAACTCAAGTCTTGTATGTAAGAAAATACGTAAATCTGGCTACAGTATATAAAGTGCACTGTGGGAGGTAGGTCTGGGTGTGAGGGCTCCTTCTCTTGTCCCACTGGGCCACTTAAGTGCTTTGTAAGTATATCTGCTCTAGGGCAGGTCACTTTATTTGCAGATGGTAAAAGGATAGATTAGGGTGCTGGGACTCACTGAAGATCAAATGTTTACAAGACGATGAAGAAGGAGATGGACTGCTAGTCTGTATTTATGAAAAACCCACTAAGGCCTGATGTGGTGGCATATGCCCCACGATCCCAGCACTCAGGAGTCTGAGGCAGAAAGACTGTGAGTTCAAGACCAGCCTGTCTCTATATTATGTACATTTGGAAACAGAAATATGGAAATGGTTAAATATGAAACGAGTCAATTGAAAACACAAAGCATAAAGCTTTTTGGTTTATCCCAGGGATATGCACATATAATGTGAGTTTCCAAGGAGATAGAAGCCCACCCAAACTGAGACATCCCCCAATAAACCATGTCTGTGTGGAAAAATAATCAGATGTTTGATGGTCCAAGCAAAGGATCTGGACCTCTCATCTACCAAACCTAAAACCCAGACCATCACTTGATTTTCCTAAAGGACATTCTGTAGCTTTCAGCGGATTCTCTAAGAGGTCTGTGATCCTAAGAAGGTTCAGAACCATGTCCAGGGTGGACATCATTTCTGTAAGAGTTTGAAAGTAGAACCGGTAAGCACCTGGTTCACAGGAAGATAAGCAAAATGTTCACCTTCTTGAGCTGCCTTAAGCAAGAAGCACCAAGAGTGAAAGTCTAGAAAAAGATGAAGCTATTGAAGATACAGAACCTGTGCTCATTTTTCCACTGTGTGTGTGTGTGTGTGTGCGTGCGTGCCAGAAGTCAACACTGGAGCCTTTCTCAGTCACTATCCACCTTCCTTTTTTGAGACAAGTCTCTCACAGAACCCGATGCTCACCAATTTAGGTAACTGGCTCTCTAGCAAGCCCCAGGGATCTTCCTGTCTCCGCCTCCTCAGCACTGAGATTCTGGGTCACACTGCTGTGTCTGCTGTATCTGTGTGTCCCTGAGTCTCTCCCCCACCCTCTCTCTCATGTAATGTGCATGTGGTATATGGACTTGTGAGGGTCAGAAGATGACATGAACTGTCTTTCTTTGATCTCTTTGATTTCTTTGATCATAAGAAACTTTCATTAATTAAAAAAATTATTGTGATGATGTGTGTATGTGTGCATGTGTAGGTCAGAGGACAACTTTGTGCAGTCTGGATTTTTAACAGTCCCAGAGATTAAACTCGAGTACCCAGGTTTGCACAGTAAGTGCCTGTAAGCTGCCAAACCTCCTTTATCTTTTGAGACAGAATCTGTCACAGAATCTCATCAGTTCAGCTAAAATGCCAGCCCAGTGAACTTCAAGGATCCACCAATTTCTACTCCTCACAGCGCTATGCTTGGCTTTTTACATGAATTCTGGGGGTCTGAACCATCATGGAAGTTCAAGGAATGGGGGCAGAAGTTAGTTTGGAGGCTGCCTGGATGCCTCAACTGGAAGTGGAAGGCAGAAATGTCAACAGAAACCCCAAGGAACTGAACTCCTTGGTGCCTATTCTTTTCTGGAGGGTTAGAGAGGAAGTGTAGAAAGAAGAGCTGCCCTCGAGACCTGTGTGTGTAGCATGGGCTAGGGGACTAGATGGCAACCTTGAAAACTCTTTGTGTGCAAAGTCTCCGGGGTAAGGATGGGCCAACTGGGGTCCAGTCTCTAAGATGAAAAGAAGGGGCACATTGTGATTGAGAGGGCCTGCTGCCAGAGTGGTCAGAAGGGGAATATGAGCATGTGTGGACCCTGGGCTGGACCAGAAAGAGGACAGCATGGAGTGTCATTGGCTCTGCGTTGTCCTTAACAGCCCATATATGAAAGATGAAGGTGTGATTACCAGCTTGGCACTGTGGGAGGGGGTGGGACCTTTTAAGAGGTTGATCTGAGGAGGTGGCCCAGTCAGTAAAGTGCCCCATGCTTGCTGTACGTAAAGACTTGAGATCCTGTCCCCAGTAGACTTGTAAAAGGGGTCATGGGGAAGGGGCATGGGAGGGGAGGTAGAAACAGGTGAATCCCTGGGACTCACTGGCCAGCCAGCTTAGCCAATTTAGTGGTGAGAGACCTTGTCTCAAAAATGAAGACAGAGTGATTGAGGAATCCACTCAATGTCTGCCTCTGGCCTCCACAAACACACACAACAAACACACATGTATACCCAACTCGATGCTCACACATCCACACAGTCAGACATCAGGGGATTGGGTACAAAAGCAGCCAGGCCAAATGACCATGAGCTAATACCTCCCAAACCAGGAAGTAAAAGTAAATATTTTCTTATTAATATTTTCTCATTATAAGTTGATTGTCCTGGATGTTTATAACAGTAGTGGAAAGCAACTAACACACATGGGAAGCCAAATGACATAGGCCAGGAGGGATCGTATAGGTGTACAATTTATAGAATACAAATATACATTTTTCACTCAGTAGCCCTTGTTGCCCCTCATCCCCCTGCTTCTGCTTCCCAAGTGCTGGGATTGCAGATGTGTGCCATCATGTCTAACTGTTCGTGTCTTTGTTTTTCAATGCTGGGGGCCAAACCCAAGCCTTCACGCTTGCAAGTCAAGTGTTCTACTGCTGAAGTGCACTGCCAAGCTACTTATTTTTAAAATATGTTTTGCTGAGTGGTGGTGGTGCAAGCCTTTAATCCCAGTACTCTGGAGGCAGAGGCAGGTGGATCTCTGTGAGTTCAAGGTCAGCTTGGTCTACAGAGTACATTTCAGGACAGCCAGGGCTATACAGATAGACTGTCTCCAAAAACCAAAATAAAGTAAAACTAAATAAAATAAAATACTTAATAAGATTGTATGTATGTGTATATGTATTATGTATATGTGTTTCATCTCCATGTGTGTATGTATACCTGGTGCCCACAGAGACCAGAAGAGGATATCAGATCCTCTAGAACTGGAATTACAGATAGTTGTGAGCCACCAGTGGATGAGTGGTTCTCAACTTTCCTAATGATGTGGCCCTTTAATACAGTTCCTCATGTTGTACTGACCCTGATTGGATTCAGACCCAGGACAAATGGCTGAGCTGTATATTTTACATACAGAGCAGACCCAACCTCCAAGTTCTCCCAGCATCGCTCAGTCCCTACCTGCTATAGGCATGGCTGGCATACCCTACCCTCTCCCCTGAACTTTCCAGCCTAGGGGTTGGGCCTCCCCTCCCCCAGAAGCTCTTCCCTATATAATCCTGATACCCCCCCATCTCTTTCCCCTGCTCTGTGTGTTCTCTCCCCCACCCTCAACCCCAAGCACAAGATCTTTCTTTCTTTCTCTCTCCTCTTCCCCTCTGTTTCTTTCCCCATGGCAACTTCCGTGGCCTTGTTCCTTGGGACCAGTGAACCCGCCTGAGAGCTGTCCCCCAATAAACCTGCTTTTATGTACTTTAATTCTACTTGAATTGGGTCATTTTTGTCTGGAGAGAATACCTTATCAACCCCCAACCATAAAATTACTTTTGTTGCTACTTCACAACTAATTTTGCGACTGTTATGAACTATAATTCAAATATATGATATATACAATATCTGATATATGACCCTTCTGAGGATCATTTGACCCCCAAAGGGTCACAACCCACAGATTGAAAACCACTAATGTGGTTGCTGAAAACTGGATTTAAGTTCTCTGCAAGAGCAACAACAGGTTCTATTAATTGTTGGGCCATCTCCCCAGCATCCTGTCTCTTTACTGTTTCTTCTTCTTCTTCTTCTTCTTCTTCTTCTTCTTCTTCTTCTTCT